GCCAGTATAACAGGAAATTCCAGAATTCATCGGAAATCATCGGCCGTATTCGTTTGCGACTTTCGTGCTCTGCTCAACGGAAACTGCTCAACGAAGTTAACGCTCGGAATTTATCGTTGAGTTTTGTACTCAACGGGATAACATACTCAACGTATAGTCCCAATCGAATACGGCAATTGTATGCATGACAAACGCGCTCTAGTGAAGTGAACTCTAGGTTTGCCGCCTGACGCCCAGAGTAGGCGACGGCCTAGGCCCAGCCTAGAGATATCGGGCTAGCCTAGGCCTAGCCTAGGTAGAGATATTGGGCTAGCCTAGGCATAGCTTTACTATACGAAAGGTTAGACGAAGATATTGCACTATTTTAGGCTAGGGTATTTATTTTCCAACATTTAATTCTAAATTTTCGATATATTTTTTCTTTATTTTCATGAATTTTCCAAAAATAAAAAATTAAAAAAAAATCAAGGCGGGCGAAAAAAATGCGGGCGGGGACGCGAAACATGTTTTTTTTTACACTTGGCCTAAAGCCAGGCTCCTTAGGGGAAAAAAATCTTTATGTTGTACAACTGATTTTTCTAAGACATAAAAAGGTGTTGGGAACTTGGGAACGGTTAATGAGATACAGATAATATTTAAAAACTCTGGGGGGAAAAGGGGTGTAACCACCATTTTTCCACCTTTTTCTTCCAGTTTTTAAATATTATCTCATTAACTGTTTCCTAGAGTTTGGTCACCATATCAAAAATATTTTTTCTCCGGAGCTTGACTTTAAAGATATTCTGTCTGTCGTAAAAATTCTCTAAAAATGTCAACATTTGAATGCTTTCTTCAGCATTACATCCAGAATGGATTTTGTCAAATATCATATGTAGATGTAGCTTTGCATAGACAGCATAAGTTATAAGAGTTGTCATAATATTACTTATTAATTTTCTCTGTTGTTTTTTTCTTTTTGTTGTTTGCTGCTGTTATTGTTAATGCTAATTCTAAAAAACTAGAGAGTGCGCTTGCTTCGCTTGTTTTACCACCTAGTATGTGAATATTGTGATTTAGTTTCGATAAAAAGAACAATATGACCACTAAAAGAGGATAGATTACATGTTGTATGTAATCTCGCTCAGTTATTTTCTTTACGTAATGTCAGAAATACAGTGGTAAGATCATGATTTATGATTTACAAAGCATGCGTCATGGGCTTAGACAAGCGTTCAGAGTTCAGTTACAGGTTTTGATAGCAATTTTATATCATTTTTCATAACATAAAAATATTAGGAAACTACTAAAATGAGACGAGACAGTATTGGTCAGGGGCAACTAAAGCAACAGAAAACCGAGTGTGCTTAACAATCGACTGTGTTTGAAAGTTACGCTTTTTGGCATCCATAAAAAACTGGATGCGGAATTATACTGTACGTTTCAATTGCAATATAAAGTTATATTAACTTTAGTGAGATGGAGACATCGATGGTCTACTGTCTATTGTTACATTTTTTCAGACTGGTAGGTTTCGAATCCCAGACGTTTTTTTAGGTCCTCAGTTTTGCATTGTGCCTATAGCCTTTAAAATATTAAAGCATAATTATAATATAGATAATAGTCATTGCCAATCCTAATATTTCTGCAATGGTATTATATTTTTTTTCCTGTTTATCAATAATGCTTTAGTATTTAGTTTTTTTCCCTTTTATTCATTTCAATATATATATATTGTTTTTTTAAATACTTATGTAATTCCATTTTGGTACAGGATAACTTCACTGATTTGTAGGGGTTCTGCATGAATGATAATAAATCTGAAAATAAAGTCGATGCTATTACAAATTAACCTTTAAAATATTTTCCTCCTACATATAGGAATCATATAATCCATAGTGTCACCTGTCTCTTGACGTATTTTGGTCAGAGAGCTTAGAAAAAAGTAACGTAGAGCATCTTAGCATTTTACAGTCCCTTGAGAGAATCTTTATTTTTTGACTGCGAGAAAATCCGATTCTTAAGTAGGATTGTCCATAGAGCCTCGTAATGAGAAGCTGAGGAGTTTGCCTCTTGGCTACTGCTCGTTGTATTCAAGTTTAAATGCTAAAATTGTTCAATTAATTGAGCATTTAGAATGCCGACTGTGTTCTGTGCATGCAGTGTTTCACGGTCTCCACTAGAACTATCTTCCTATCTCCCTCATGTTTGCCAATAGTAAAAATAATTTTCTTGTGACTCTTGAAACAATTAGGATTTTAACTCAAAAAGGTGAAATGGTCAATTAGATAAAATCGACTTCATAGAATCAGGCTGTCAGTGTCAGAGGTAATTCTTAATCATTACTCTAGCATAGTAAACTGATAATCAATATCCCACATATCCAATTTGTAATATGTTGATTCATTCTTTCCATTGCTGCCCTTCCCCCATAGTATTTTGACCAAATTATACTTCCGTATCACAGTGCCAGGTTAATATTTTGTGTTCCTAGGTGCCTCGCGCAGCATTGTTACATTTTCTTTGCTATGGTTCTTGCAATAAATTTACTGAACTCCCAGTATTTCAATAAATAAAAAAATGTTTTTGTATATGTTGATAAATTCATAATTTTCTTATTAATGAAAACTGTATGTAATCATTCTGTTTTTTATATGTAATTTTCTAATGATTAAGCATTCTCCATCACATATTTATTTCCATTTTTAGATTACATGATATTTTATGGTTTTGACAATTTTATGATGTTTTTATATAAATAATTTTTTGCTGCTCCACTAATATTTGAAGTGATCAAAATCTTGTTTATTATTATAATTCTGAAAGTATTTTTATGTTTACAGTATGCTTTTAATGTTTTGTCTTACAGAGAGGGGGACCACAAAGAATGGGAATGCCAATGCCACATCCATACTCTGGTGGAATGAGGGGTAGCATGATGGACCGAAAGAGACATGCAGAGGCTCAGAAAAGAAGCCAAGGGTAAGAATACTTTTCACAAGTTTGTAACAAATACCTAGAAAAAAAAATGTTTTTCTTGTGGAACAATATAGAGATATAGGAGTGACAATGATGACATTGTTGATAATATAGTTTTTTTTAATATTTTATTTTATTCCTTTAGGCACATGGCCAAGGATTACCAACTTAATTACTGTCCTTTTAAATAGGTGGCAATCCCTTCACATGACAAACAAAAACAATGATGCTTTACATAGATCAAACAAGTGTTGTTAACCCCACTTAAGTTCCCCCTTCCCAATGGAAATTTACTAAGGAAAATATTACACTCCCGTAGTGGAAATATTTTGACACTGAAAACCAGAGCTGAAACATCACCTTATTACCCCCAGCTAGCACCTCTTAATTTCCTCTTGCACTCTCCCTCCCACCAGCCCCTTCAAGTTAACACTCTGAAGATAAACCACTGTAATGATGACATTGATATTAATTTAATTATAGCATAGATCACGTTACTAGAGATGCAAGTAAGAGTAATTGCCACTGATGACCTAAGTCAACTGACCTAAATACTAAATAAAATTTAGTTTTGAGGCAAATACATATCCTGTGTTAGTATTGATAATTATGTAATTAGGAAATAAATAGGTCATCATATTGCCTATAAATTAAGCACTAATGTTTCCTTAATCATTTATATTATATTATAATCATATACTATATATAATATATGCCATATTGGTTAAAAAATTATATGTCAGAAAGATAAAGAATGTTTATTTTATTAGTGGGACAAGCAGGAAGAAAAAGAAGATGGGAGATAAGATCTTGCCCCAACGTGTCCGAGATCTGGTTCCCGAATCTCAGGCGTATATGGATTTGCTGGCTTTTGAGCGAAAGCTTGATACTACAATCATGCGCAAACGTTTGGACATTCAGGAGGCTCTTAAGAGACCAGTTAAGGTAACGTTCTCAGATATAACACACAATAAAACACTTTTTGCATAATAAATATAAATTCTCAATGCAAGTATAATTACATCTAGACCGGGTCACAAGTTGTTAACATCCATCTAAATTACAAGTAGACCGGGTCACAGTTTTTTAACAACTATCTAAATTACTATCTTTCACTCAACTTTGTAGAATAAGTAGTAAAATTTTTATTTTTTTTGTTTACTAAATTCTAACTCATGATTCTGTCTCTTATTGTGTTAATCTTTCATATATCCATGTAGAAAAGTGTTAAAATATTTTATTTTACTAAACTGTGGTTTACTATCTCTTGATTAAAATCAGTGTTATTCTATACTAAAATCTAAATTGCTCCCACTTGCATCTTTAACATTAAAATATTTTAAAAGTTTAATTTCTGTATTTGGTTTCTACTTCAAAGATAAATAGAAACTAAATTGCACACTAATGGTTAAATAATCACTGATATAAGAATTGTAACATTATGAAATTTGCATGTAGTTCTTTATTATTGTAAGTGTTTCCTAGGAAAAAGATCTCCCATTTTTTTAGGTGATTAAAGTAATAAAATTATTTGGTATGGAAATGATGCTGACATGATCTGAAGGTTATTATGGTCAGATAAATATCAAATTTCAGCACGCTATATGTCTCTGCTTTCCATATGTTCATTATGCAAATTAAAAATCACCATTTTCTGTGATTGTAATGTACTTACAATGCCTTAATGCATTTGACCATATGACATCGATTTCTGTAATGTGGTGGACATACATTATTTCTATATATAAATTTATTGGCCGTTAAAACAACTGGCGACATTAGAATTATAAAAAACATTTTAGTAGTTCAATTATAATTCTTACAAATTCATTCGTTCAGTGGAGATTGTGATCTAAAGAGTGGTCCGCCGACCGATGTTCCTCTGTGTGTTTAAAGTTAAAGAGGACATGCACAGTTGAATCCATCTTGCAAACAATTACAAACATGATGATTCATGAAGCATTATGGGGGAAAAGAGAAGAAAATAATACCAGTTCTGTACTGTAGAGTGCGATAATGCAGTAAGGGGAAAAGGGGAGGGAAATTTACACATGGCACGAGAGCACAATATACCAAAATTTATCATCTAGGGTGGTGTGTCAACATTTCAACTTAAAACAACTCTTAAAAAATTTACTTTTATTGTGGTGGTTTTTTAAATAATAACACAGATCTCCCTCCAAATAAAGACCACTTTTGGGACTGGGGATTCCATGGTCTTTATCAGTTTTGGTCTGTAATTGGAATGATAAAGATGCAGTACAGACATTTGTTAATTTGTGACCACAGAAACCTGGTCTTTGATTGGAGGGATATTTAATTAGAGGGAGATCTGTAATTTTAATCTTTATTATTTTAAAATGTAATTCATCTTAAATTTTGCAAGGGAAAATTTTTTTTATTTTTTAATTCATTTTTACTTCCAATAGCAAGTTACGGGATAAATCTATGTGATGCAATTAAACTAAATCCTTAAGGCTTAGAAAGTGGAATTATTCTTAAGTTAAGAAAAATATAAGCACTTTGCAGGAAGAAAATTAATGAAACTTTGAAAAGAAAACCGAAATATTGAACCTAAGACTTTTAATTTTCGAAGATGTCCACCAAACCACGTAACAGTTCCAATTATAATCAGGTTCAAAATATATATATATATATATATATATATATATATATATATTCATTGAGGCATGCCTCTAAAGTTTAGTTTTGGCCTTCCAGTTTACTTGTTTAGGCTGTTTATTCTAATCCCACCTAGCCTAGCCCATTTCAACCTAATTATAATTGGAACTGTGTCTTTTGGAGGAAACAAATGGTTAACAAGTATTAACTACAGTACTACTAACATTACAAGACAAAAATACCTCCTATTCTCATTAGCCTCGAAGTTACCATTCTGTCTCAAAAATATTCATTTTATTTTTAAAGAAGATGAAAAAAAAACCACAACCTTACTTTAGAGAAGCTAGTACAAGATGGCTCTCTTTGGTTAACCATGTTTTTTATTGAACATTGACCTGAAGGGAAGAGTAGTCTCTGATTTGATCAGCAAGTTTAATTGACAAATTATGGAGTTCAAGGTACCAGAGCCCCATCAGAGTGAAATAATCATGAGTGCCTAATTACAACAGAAGTTCTGCCCCCGACCTATTTCATTAAGTCTATAGAACCAAAACCCAAGTTCAGGCACTAATACACACACACACTAGTGTCATGTTGAGTTGACAATAGGCGTGCGTATTTCACAGCACTTAACAACTTTTCCTGGCCAGCTCTCGCATTCTGAATTTATTGATTTCTTTGGCCCTAGACCTATGATCAGTGTTTTTATTCTTTCAGAAAGAGATTGCCATAATGTGGTCTAGTTTTTTAATAGTCAAGATTATTGCTTATGACATATCTTGGCTCAATAACATATAGGCCATTGTAATACTATTTATGATTTCTTGTCAAATAATTCTAATTCTCACCAGTTTTTTTTTTTTTTTTGGCAGATTATTAAAAGTTACAAGAAAACATTTTCATCAGAGATTAGTAAATGAAAAAAGGAAAACCTTTATAGTAAACTTTTTGTGATTTAAATTTTTTTAATTCTAATGTATTTAATACTGTGCCTGTATGTAGGCCTATTTATTTATTTATTTATTTTAATTTCTTGTTTGATTTGTAATTTCAATTTTGAAATCTGAATTTGAATATGTATATCTAAGTTGTAGCATGATATTATTAACATATTTGATGATTAAAAGTGGCATCAATATTTATTTATCCTACAAATATATATTTCATAGTTACTTTATTTGTTCCTATGAGAATTTACATGAAATTCATTTCATTTCCACATACAATTGCAAAATTGTACAGATAAGTAATATTTACAAAAACACAAAGGGCGAATATAAATAATGGTATAGTAGATTTGTCACCATTAGCATTAAAATAATTTTTATTTTTGTTTGGTTACTTTGTGTATTTTTCATTTCACAGTAAATTTTTATTAATTTTGCTTATTGTTTAGTTAATTGTAAATATAGATAATCATTAAAATTAATAGCTAAATATTGTTGTATCTTTTTTTGCTAAATATTTTTGATCATTTTATTAAGATGCTCTCTGGATGAAATAGATATTATGTGTAATATTATTACCATTATCTTTAATAGAACGGTTCTTATAAACTTAATAAGATACTGTAGTTCACGTCTGCTTTAAATATTTTCAGCGAAATCCCAAGCCCCTGTTTAATGGCAAATGAAATTGTATGAATAAATAGTAAAATTAATAGTTTGATGTAAAAAAGAACAGCAATTATAGCCAGCAAAAATATGTCTGAATTTTGTTTTATGTCCAGTTCCTTTTTTTTTTTAACTTCTTTTCATAAATCTAAATGTATTTTAAATCCCATGATGGTTTTCTAATAATAAATATTCTGATTGTATTTATGCCTTTTTGAAGGGCAATGCAAAACAAAGTAATGTTAAAGAGCATTTTAATGGTCTGTGTAATGTAATTCACTGGAGAATAATAATGATTGCTATTAAAAGAATGTTTAATTGCAATTTATTTTTCAATATAAAGTAGTTAAGCCCTATAAATGGTCAGAAGAAAAATGCAATTAAAATAGATGTGTTCAATATGCTTTAAAATAATATAATTAATATTTTTCTTTTTGTTTTATTGTACATTATATTGCCTTCGATCAAATCCCTTTAAAACTCCAAAATATTTAGTGGCTCATTTTAACGGAATCAACTAAGTTATCGACTACTATGTAGGCTATTTAAGCTTGTGAAGGCACAGAGCCTCAAACATCCGATTATGGCTTATGTTTAATAAATTGACTAAAGCTAGGTTTAAAGGCCTTCCGACCATCATTTTAATAGATTAAATAATATTCTTATACTGATGGAACATGACATAACACCCACAATGAATTAACCTGGTCCAGATTCTGTTTGAAATTTTGTATTGCATCATCTAAACATTTAATTATTCAGTTATTTATTGATTTATTTCTTACATAAAATGTTTTCAAACAACTTACTTTATTTATTATTTTTAAATAAAGATGTAATACCTGAAAATATCACATAATAGTTCTAATGAGTAATGAACATGCACAAAATTATGAAGAGTTTTTTTCCCCTGTATTTTACATTATGAGACTGTAAACAGTAAACAAACTATTGTGTTTTGCAAATTAAAATAGTATCTAGCAAAGAGAGACAACAGGCCTAGTTTTGAAGTATTTGTTTTACTATGGATAAATAGATACAAAAATATCATCTGTTTCTTTAATACCAAATGTTAGTATGTTGTTATGTCTTTAGTTTGTGAAATATAGAAACCATGTTTGATACTATTTTTTATTCAATAATGGGGAAAGTAACAAGCATAGGAAAAGAAATCACTTCGATGGAATAGAATAATATAAAAATTTTAATTCGAACTAAGATTGAACAGAAAAAATCAGCCTTCAAAAACTTTTCCAGTTAAAAAAAGGAATTATATTTACTGTATATGGAAATGAGTACTTCTTCAGAAAAAAACTTGACAATAAAGTTAAAGTATAAAGAATATGCTAGACAATGAGAAATTAAATTGCTTATTTGACTTATTTTAATCGAATGTTCACTGACTTTTTACTACCAAAATTCTTGAATTGTCTGGCAGACAATTTAAGTGTATATGTTAACAAGGGTATTATCAATTAAATTTAGGACTATTCTTATATAAAAAAAAAGTGCATAAAAATCATAGTAAAAAAAAATATTAAAGTAGTTTTTAAATATGTAATTTCTAGGCAGTCTTTTCCATCCATTGTATTAAACTATCTATATAATATGTCTTTAATGTTTCTATTTTCACTTAAACATACAAGTGTTAGTCGGAAACCAGACACAATATCAGGAAATATATTCATCGAGCTTACATGATAACTGATT